TGGAGAAGTATAGAGACGCTCACAAGGATTTGCATTTAGTGTTCATTGACCTAGAAAAGGCATATGATAGGGTACCTCGAGAAGTTCTTTGGTGGGCCTTAACTAGAAAAGGCATTTCATGCAAGTATATCAGCATCATCATGGATATGTATGAGGATTGTACTACAAGTGTCCGTACTAGTGTAGGAAGGACTGCGGAGTTCCCTATTACTATCGGAGTGCACCAAGGATCGGCTCTTAGCCCTTTTTTATTTGCCATAGTCATGGATGAACTTACAAAGTCAATTCAAGACGATATACCGTGGTGCATGATGTTTGCCGACGATATTGTATTGATTGATGAGACGCAATCAGGGGTTAAAGCAAAGTTGGAAGTATGGCGACAGACATTGGAGAACAAGGGTTTCAGACTAAGTAGGAGCAAGACAGAGTACATGGAGTGCAAGTTTGGTGGAGGTAGAAGCAGTGGTAATAGCGGAATTACTTTAGATGGTAAGGAGATACCAGTCAGCGATATGTTCCATTATTTGGGCTCCATAATTCAGAAGGACGGTGAGTTAGATTCAGATGTATCCCATAGAATCAGAACAGGGTGGATGAAGTGGAAGAGTGCATCAGGATTTCTATGCGATCGAGGTATGCCGACTAGACTGAAGGGTAAATTTTATAAGACAGCAATTAGGCCGGCATTATTGTATGGCACGGAGTGTTGGGCGGTGAAACAATGTCACATTCAAAAGATGAGTGTGGCAGAGATGCGCATGCTGCGTTGGATGTGTGGGCATACTAGAAAGGACCGCGTGAGGAATGAGACAATTAGACAAAGGGTGGGAGTAGCACCTATTGAAGATAAGATGCGGGAGTCACGCCTACGGTGGTTTGGTCATGTGCATAGAAGACCGAGTGATGCACCTGTCAGACGAGTTGAGATGTGTGGAGAAGAGGTAGGGAAGAGAGGGAGAGGAAGGCCCAAACAGACGTGGGTTAGGGGAGTCAGAAGTGATATGCTTCTTCTTGGATTGGATGAGGGTATAGCTTTGGAGAGAGCAAAATGGAAGGCGGGTATTCGTGTTGAGGAGTGATCTTGTATCATCTTTTTTTTCTTCTTCTTCTTCTTTTTTTTCCTTTTCTTTTATATCTTTATCCTTATATATAAATATTACCTTATCCTTTTTATTTGATCTTTTATATGTATATTCATCTCTTTTATATTATCTTTTTTTTATAATAGCTTATCTTTTTTATCTTTAGTTTCTTTCTTTTCATTTTGGTGATAATGTGATATCATATATCGATTCATGTTAGCCGACCTCAATATCATTTGGGACTAAGGCTTGGATGTTGTTTGTTTATCCGCTACCACATCCTCACGACAACGAGCATGGCTAAAACAACATCACCGGCCGTTACTTGAATATTAGATATATTCCTCTACATATCCATCTTGATTTATTAAAACTAAACCTTCCTACTGCTCATTAGAATGAGATTGTATGGGCTACAAATGGTCTTATATAGAATTAACTTGCATGGGTGAAGTAATCATGTGACTCAAATATCTAATTTTCATAGTTTCCAACTTTTTCTTTTCTTGGACCATTTATCCTATGAGTCTGAAATTCGGATCTAGTGAATTTGACTTCTAATTTGTTACTGTGGGTGGTGGGTGTGTAGTGGTTTTTATTTAGTTGTTTGTACCCCAAAAAGCTTTACTAAGTTGTGTTATTCTTTTTGTTTATTTTGTTGTCTTCTTGTACGAAAATATGTTGGTATGTCTGTTTTATAGGTGTAGTGGTTCCTTGTAATATTAATTTATTCTAAATCTGTGTTATAATGATTGCATTTGCATTGCAGGTTTATAAGAGAGAAATGAAGATAAGGGAGACAAACTTGATGACTTTGTGTTGAGATGAATTAAAGGAAGAAGAATTGACAAGAACCAAAGTGAAATTATATGATAGATGAATGTAATAAATTGAAACAATATGTTAAATTATATGTTTCTTTTGATACTTTTATATGTTTTTTTTGTTGCATCTTGTTGCTTTTTGTTGAATCATTTGTTGCATCTTGTTGCTTTTTGTTGAATCATTTGTTGCATCGTCTTACTTTTTGTTGCAACATGTCGCTTATTGTTATTTATTGTTGCTTTTTATTTTTGGTTGTTTATTTAGGTTTATATTTATCTTATCTACTCAATTAGAATCAATAAACATATATATAGACTTATATATAAGTACATAAAATTATAAAATTGGACTTATGAGTACCAACAACTAAAAGAAACATGAAGCAACAATAAAAAACAAAAATTTAGAATCTGTCAACAAAGATAAACACAAAGAAACAATATGCCACAAGAGAAATGTATATGTTTCAACTGATAATAGTAATTGTAATAGTAGTAGTAATAACTCATTTTTTTAACTTTTTGAAAATATTAAATTAATAATCTTTATATTTTAATTAAAAAAACTAGAAACATAGAGAAACAGTGAAAAACAAAATCTTCAGAATTATCAACAAAAAATATATATATTTCATTTTTTTTATATTTTTATAAAAATATATTTTACATTTTTTTATATTTTTATATTTTATATTTTAACATTTTAAGATTTACAATTTTTTAAGAATGTTTTTTTTTTCAATTTTGAGAAAATTTTCAATTTCTTACATTTTAATATTTATATTTTTAATTTTTTTTCTTTTTATTAAGATATTAATACTCTGTTATTTTTAAATTTCATTAAAATTTCAATTTAATTACTTTTTTAGTTCATTAAAATTTTATTAAAGAACTATTTTTTTCTTTTATAAATTACAGTTTTGCCTAAATTTAACATTCTGATTTTCGTGTTTTGTCTTTATGTTTAATTCTTTTACACGTTGTTAGTTGTTCTAATCTTTTCGGAATTTTTAAAATTTATTTTCAATATTTAATTTACATTCTTTTCAATATTTAGATATTGTTAAATATAACCTTTGATTCTCTTTTTTCTTGAAGTTTTTCAATTTTAATGTTTTATTTTAACTTTTACAGGTTTATATGTATTCTACATAAAGTTAAATAACTGTGTTTTTTATAATTTATTGAAAAAAACATACTTTCTATTCTATTTTACAATCTTTCACAATTTTTAAGTTATTAACATTGTTCTGATCTTTATATTTCTAAATTTTATATAAGTTTCTAAACTTTTTTCTGATTCAACTATAAAATAGTATTCTCTTAATTTTATAAATTTAATTACATCTTTTCAATTTGGGAATTTTTTATATTTTTTTAATTCAAGTTTTTACTTTTAGTTTTTAGACTTTTATTACTTCTTGTATTTTGATTTATCTTTTTAATTTTTAATAATTTTGCCATTTCTGTTTTGTAATTTTGATTTAAAAACAAAAAGAAGAAGTGTAATTGGTGTACATTCTATTTTTCTATTGCTTAGTAACTAACGTGGCTATACTTCAGTTATGCTAAGTTGTTAACTTTTGTTATGTACGCTTCACAGGACCAAAGCATCCCGTTATAATGTGCTGCGGAGCCTACGATCTCTACTAAGGTGCTGTTCTGTTCGTCTTATTCTGGTTACTTATTGCTTATTCTTATTTTATTCAGATCCGATCAGATCAGATCAGATCAGAAAAATTCAGATCAGATCAGATCAGATCAGAAAGATTCAGATCAGATCAGATCAGAAAGATTCAGATCAGATCAGATCAGATCAGAAAGATTCAGATCAGATCAGAAAAGTTCAAACATGATTTATCACTTGTATTATTATTAATATTGTTATTACTATTATCATTATTATTATTATTATATAATTATTATTAATATTATAATATATTTAATTGTAATTATAATTATAATTACAATTATAATTCTTCTAATTATAAGTATAATCAATTGTAATTATTATAATTATATCTATAATTAATTATAATTATAATAATTATAATTATCATTACAATCATAATTATAATTATGATTATAATTATAATTATAATATAATATTATAATAATATAGTAATACTAATAATAATAATAATCGTATTATTATTAATATATTTTAATAATAATATTAATATAATAATATCGTTATGATAATATTAATTGTATTTATAGTACTATTATTATATTATAATATTATAATTAATGTTAATATAAATATAATTATTATTAATTATAATTATAATAATTATAGTTATATTATTATATTATAATATTTTAATTAATTTTAATATAATTATAATAATTATTAATTTTAATTATAATAGTTATAATTATAATTATATTATAATTATAATTTATGATTATAGTTATTATTTTTATTATTATTATTATTATTATTATTATTATTATTATTAATACTACTACTACTTTTGTAATTATTTTACGGAGTAATTATAATAATATTGATAACTATAGTTACAATTATAGAGATAAATATTGTAGTTATAATTATATCTATATTTATAATTAGTGTAATAGGTATAATTTTTTTCATTTTAAATTTAATGTTAATTATTATTATTATTATAGTTACGATTATAATTATAATTTTATTTAAATTATATTTGTAATTGCAATTATAATAATTATAATTATAAATATAATTATAATCATAGAAACATTCAAATCAGATCAGATCAGAAAGATTCAGATCAGATCAGAAGGATTCAGATCAGATCAGAAACATTCAGATCAGATTAGACCAGATCAGAAACATTCAGATCAGATCAGAAAGATTCAGATCAGATCAGATCAGATCAGAAAGATTCAGATCAGATCAGATCAGATCAGAAAGATTCAGATCAGATCAGATCAAATCAGAAAAATTAAGATCAGATCAGATCAGAACTTAAAAAATTCAGATCAGAAACATTCAGATCAGGCGAAGAGAACAGCTTCTAACGAAAAGAAACTTTCAGAAAAGTCTATTTTTGAAAAGATAACTCACCGGTGACAAAATTGATATTATTGTTGGTTTTTGATATAAATTCCCAAAATAAAAACGGGTCCAAATTTAGTTTATTTATCCGTCACTCTCAAAGAAGTCTTGAGCAGAAAGGCAGTGCCGGTAATCCTTCATCGCTCGCATCAGTGGGCATCACATATTTGAGCATCCCCGACAGGAGTACGAGTACACATCGAGTTATCCCGTAAAGCAGAGAAGAGTAACCTCATCCCCTTCCTTCTTCATCTCGGTAATTCCTCTGAATTTATATCTGCTATATATTTATTGTTCCTTTTTAAACTGCAGCGCTTCTCCTTATTCTCGATCTGATTGTTCTATTCCTAAACAATCTACTTTCGATAATCTGGTAAAAGCGCTATATATTGTTGGTATCTCACTTTTCTTGTGTGAGCTTAAAATCGATTTCTTAGCTATGCAGGTGAAGACCACGATGCAATTAAAGCATACCTTACATTTTAATTTCGAAATTAAAATCGGGTGGCTTAAGATTTTCTAAAAAAAAAATATGTTTACTTGCTTAAGGATTAGATTTAGAAACAGAGAGTAATTATAGATGGAGAGCAAACAGTGAGCTCAAAGATTGTAATTTGTGTCTGGGAATTGCAAACAGGCTTTAATAAAATTCATACTTTGTTAGTTCACAGATTGTTGGTTCTTATACGGTCTATATTCTTTAAGTGGGTAGCTATCATACACCATTGACAATTTCACTGGGTAAAATTCATACTTTTTTAGGTCATGGTTGCACCTTGTTTTTTTAATCATCCAAGAATAGCTGTGAAGCTTATTTGTTATTCTAGAGCATTTTTTTCTGCATTTCAGTTGGTTGCTTCTTCTCTTTTTTATATAGCAAATTACTATGAAAATAGAAAATCTTTTTTTTTATTAAATTGAAAGCATCAGCCTTTTTAGCATGTTTTTTTGAGTTATTGTGACATACATATCTCATTCTTTATGTATGGAGTATGGTGGCGAATCAGAAAAACAAAAAAGATGTAGGATAAGTTGGGAAAACATGAACATGGTCAAAACTTTTATTGAGACTCGTATTAATGAAATTTCTGTAAATTTGTGAAGCAGTAGTCTCAAAACTTTCATGGAAGAAAGTGTTGAGGTTTTGAAAAGTTTTCATAACTTTTGTGTTGGTATGAAGCCAATGAAAAATCATTAGGATTATCTCATGGGAAACTGGGAAAGTATAGAGCCTGGTTACTGCTTAAAAGTAAAACAGGCAATGTGTGCAATCCATCTACTAACACATTTAATCTTACATCCCAGGAATGGGAGATTGAAATGCAGACAGTTTTTGTACAATAGATTGACTAGTATTTATACTTAAAAGATGCAAGTGCAATTTGATAAATAATCTAATGGGGACAATAAGTAGTTGAGTTTCTATGTTGGCATTAAAACTCAAAAGCTCGTATTTTGTTATACAGATTGTGGTCTACTCCTATTCAGGCGCATGGATTTTGACTGAAATAGTGCAATTAGTCTGGCCTGTTTCAGTTGGGTCTGATTTGGGATGTTTTCTTTTGGACTGAAATTTGTTGATCTGGTCTGGTCAGTTGGAGTTTGGTACGCCCTTAACTGGTCCGTTCCGGTTCGATAAATGTCTGGTCTCTGTGTATTTTAGAACTATGGAAGTCTGATTTGATTTGGTCTGTATATGTCTTGTCAAGTCTGTTGAAGTCTGGACTGATGTGGTGTAGTATGAGACTGAAAACAGTCCAAAAGAAAACATCCTTGATAGTTTGTGTAATTTATTATTGTTTATTGGTGGTTAGTTTGTGTAATTTATTATTGTTTATTGGTGGTTTGGTCTGATCCGCTTAAGGCCAATTTGTTCTTCTTAAGTTAACACGTCCTTAGGCACTTGGGAATTTAATATTTTTAGCTATGAAATAATCCATAAAAACATGTGAGCCTAATATTTTAGCCTCTTGATTGAGCAGACACTATGTGCCAGACAATTAATACTGACATTTACACATTTAGTATTTTAATAGTCCACCAAACAAGAGTAAAACTTAGCTGAAATACCAAACTAAGAGTGTGTAGGATTTATTATGCTTAAAAGGTGTAAGCACAATTTGATAAATAATATAAGGGAAAACTGTCAAATAGGTCCTCGAACTTTCATAAAAAAGTCAATTAAGTCCTTCTATAAGAGACTATGTGCGGTCGTCGCGATTTGGGGCGGTTCCCGGTGGAATTTTTTGATGAAATTTTTTGAGCATCTTATTCATCAAGTCTAGTTTACTCATACCAAATTTCAGCTAAAAATTTGATCGGGAGCGCATTCCAATTAATTCGAGAACGCAAAAATGCGCAGTTATCTTCAAGAATTAATTTGAATGTGTCCCCGATTGAATTTTTAGCTGAAACTTGGTATGAGTAAACTAGACTTGGTGAATAAGATGCTCAAAAAAATTCATCAAAAAATTCCACCGGGAACTGCCCCAAATCACGACGGCCGGGCAAAACCTCCTATAGAAGGACTTAATTGACCTTATTATGAAAGTTCGAGGACCTATTTGACACTTTTCCCATAATATAATGGGGACAATATGTCAGGGTGAGGGTAGGAGTGGGCTCCAGCCCAGCCCAATTTGTATATTTTAATTAGTGTAGGTATAGATTTTATTATCAGCCCATCCCAAAATTTATTCCCTGCCAAAATTTATTTCCAGTCCCAGCCCACAGCCCAAAGCCTGAATATTCAACTTACCTGCGCAGCACCGCTCCTAGCGAACGCAAAAGAAAGAAATTAGAACAAAGACGGAGGCACAAGCGAGCTCTGCTACGAAGCGCGAACACCAAGCCATCAGCCGCGCCGCGTTCCGCCGTCCGCGCCGCGCTTCCAGCCATCCAGGGGACTGCGTCGTCGCCCACTCGGCCGTCCTTACTCTCTTATTTTGTGAGATTTTGTTAACTTGTACATTAGAGAATGGTTTGATTATTGATTGAAATTTTTACTCTCTGCCGTCCTTGGGTTAGATTGGTTTGATTATTAATTGAAATTTTCTATGCATAATAAAATAGATCTAATCGGGCAAAAATTTATTATAAATTTATAGTGATTAAATATAAAATTAAATCTTAGAGAATGATTTATTGATAATACAATTGAAGATTAGAGAATGATTTGATTATTGTCTGGACACGTAAGAAAAAATTGAAGAATTCAATTGAATTTTGAAATTGGGAATACTTATTAATTTTATGTACAATGTTTTTTTCTTATTAGTTTTATAATTTTATATTTTTATAGAAGTATTTTGATTCATATCAACATCGAAAATGTTTTTTAGAATGGATAATGAACATATTAACATTAAAAGGAAGAAGTTGATTTCGTCATTCTTTCCGAAGTGAATCGTCAAAGTGGTGAAGGGAGTTCTGAACCTATACTTACTATAGTGCAAGACTTGCTCAATGAGGTTCCCCCATAAGCCCAAGTCCCTGAAATTCAAACTATTTCAAATTTGGAGTTGCCTTCATCTTTTTCCATTGAGAGAGATCCAGGAAAAGGAAAGCAAATTCATTGAAAGAGATTTTGTAGATTCAATTATTGATGAATTCTGTACTTTGAAGTCGCGTAGAGCACAACTTAAGTGATGTTTGGATGAATATTTAAAATGCTGACGATTTGACGTATTATTATGCACGTATCTTTCATTTTTTCTCTCAGCCCTACCCATTGTAATTTTCTGGATCTGCCCCTGTAATATGTGGTTGAGTTCCTATGTTGGCATTCAAACGTAAAAGCTCTGATATTTTTGTACAGACTGGTCTACTCAGTGGGTTTTGACTGAAATATTGCAATTAGTCTGGCCTGTTTCAGTGGGATCTGATGCGATATTTTGTGTATTTTATTAGAAATAATTACATAAATATGATCAAAATAAAGATGATTTACAAAAGTATGACTAGTGACTAGAGTAGTAATGAAATCATAGTAATCCAGGTTCAAGTTTTAAGCATAAGTTACCCCAACACCACATTGTAGTAATGAATAGTCATATTTATGTAAATATGTTTTTTAGTAATATTCTTGTAAAAACCCCATTTAATTATTATTTATTGTTGGTTTGGTCTGATATGTTTAGGTTTTTATGCTTGAAAGACGCAAGCACAATTCAATAGATAATCTAATGGGGACATTATGTAGTTGAGTTCCTGTGTTGGCATTAAAACTTAAAAGATCTTATTTTGTTATGCAGACTGTGGTCTACTCCTATTTACACATGCAGATTTTGACTGAAATAGTGCAATTAGTTTGGCCTGCTTCAGTTGGGTCTGATTTGATATTTTATGTATTTTATTGTAGTTTATTGTTGATTTGGTCTGATCTGTTTAAGGCTGCTTTGTTCTTTTTATGTCTTGTTTAATGTGGTCTGGGTTTGGTTTGAAACAACTCCAAGTGAACAGGTCCTTATGCACATTTCTATTTTTGTTGTGAACTCAAAAAGTTCCTTTTCCTGCAGAACTCAAAATGTCGAGAAGATATGATAGCCGGACCACAATCTTCTCCCCAGAAGGCCGTTTATACCAGGTCGAATATGCAATGGAGGCAATTGGAAATGCTGGAAGTGCCATAGGCATACTGTCCAAAGACGGAGTTGTTTTGGTTGGCGAAAAAAAGGTCACTTCCAAGCTTCTCCAGACCTCGACTTCCACAGAGAAGATGTACAAGATTGACGACCACCTGGCCTGTGCCGTTGCTGGAATAATGTCTGATGCCAACATCCTCATCAACACAGCCAGGGTCCAGGCCCAGCGTTACACTTTTTCTTACCAAGAACCCATGCCTGTCGAACAGCTTGTCCAGTCGCTCTGCGATACCAAACAGGGTTACACCCAGTTTGGTGGTCTCCGTCCGTTTGGGGTTTCCTTCTTGTTTGCAGGCTGGGATAAGAACTACGGCTTCCAATTGTATATGAGTGACCCGAGTGGGAACTATGGGGGCTGGAAGGCGGCTGCGATTGGGGCAAACAACCAGGCAGCGCAGTCGATGTTGAAGCAGGACTACAAGGATGAGATCACAAGGGAGGAGGCTGTTCAGCTTGCTCTTAAGGTGCTTAGCAAGACGATGGATAGCACTAGTCTTACCTCTGAGAAGCTTGAGCTGGCTGAGGTGTTCCTTTGTAAAGGTAAGGTTAAGTACCTCGTTCACTCACCCGAGTCGCTCGATAAGTTGCTGGTGAAGCTTGGATTGACCCAACCCACTCCGGAGACCTAATTAACGCGCTTCTTGCTTGCTGCATAAGACTTCTTGAATCAGTCTGCTCTTTATTTTATTTCCAGAACAAACTTGTGTGTGTTTAGAAGTTACTTCATAACTTGTGTGGGATTTTTTTATCGTCATATGTGGGATTCTTGATTCAATCAGTATTGCTGCTTTATTTAATCGGACGGCTCATATGTGGGATCATGAAGTTCGATGATGTTTTAGAACATCACAGATAATTCTGCAGGTGCTGCTCAAATAGTCAAACTTATGGATAAATGAAAATAAATAATGATATGAGAATAACATAAATATTGCTTCACAAATGATACAATCCGTGAGATCCATCCAAATGTTCTGTTCTTTACCTGAAGACCCAAAATCACGGACATGAATAATGTATCAACATTGCTATTTGCTACCCCTCTTAAAAAAATTTCAACATACACTCTTTGTGTAATACATTTTTGCAAAACTATAAAAACATGGATGATCTCATTATATCATATTATCATATATCCATCAAAATTATTTGAATAATCTTATTTAATTATTGTCTAAATAATCTTTTCATTTTAATAGGTGTACCTATAAGCGAGACGGATATAAAATAAATTTTTGGAAAAATTGATAACAATAATCCCAACTATTGGTGATCCGCTCATAATAATCCCAACTATCGATTATCTCAGAATAATCCCAACTTTAGAGACAATCCGCCAATAATGGTCCCTATAAATAAATTCGTGTAGTTTCTAAAATGGATGACAAGAGATATAGAACTAATCTCTATAAACAATCTCAACTTTTAATTGTTACGCTTAATTTCTATTTAAAATTCACTTGTTATATGAGATAATATCTGGTCATGGACCATTATTGGCGGACAGTCCATATAGTTGGGATTATAGAAAAATAATCAATAGTTGAGATTATTGTCAACGGACCGCCAATAGTTGGGATTATTATTTTCAATTTTTTCTAAATTTTTTAATTTTTTCATGATCTTTCGTATGATACCAATATTGTATATGTAAAATTTAAAAATTCTCAGTAAAAATAATTTTTGATTTTTTTTCAAACTATTTTATATGCAATAGTGATACGATTGAAAGATGAAAATGTGTTTAGAATGAAATCATGTTCAATGTTTTTTGACAGATACATTCAATTTTTAAAGCTAAGTTATCATAACACTACATTGTAATAATTATTAGTTATATTTGTATAAATAAACATTATTTAATACATAGTACGTCATATTTAAAAAAACCATTTCAAAGAAAAATTAGAACAATTGATATTCCATTCCATTCTTAAATCCAACAAGGAGCAAATCACAAACTCGCAAGCTCGCGTATAGACGTCGGCAGCCCCGCACCGCCGGACGCTCGCATATAGACTGCGTTGCGCCTTCTCCCGTTCGCCAGTCTGCCGCCGCCGCTTGCTAGTCGGCCCAGCGGCTCCATCCCTGGGTTAGTTTTTATTGTAATTGGCTAAACAAACAAGTATTATGGTGAGATATTGCGTATAAATAGACATTAAGTTGAATTAAGCAATTCTTTTTTGAAATGTGTAAGTAAATTCTGTTTCTGAGCAGAAAGATGGGGGCTTTCCTGGATATCTTCAAACGTTCCAGTTAAAAAGTCTGGAATGCGAGGCGGAAAATCCGACCTTGAGCTCCATCTACCAGAGAAACTCTCCCCGAAAGCTCTCTTAAAACTTTTAAAATGCGAGAAGAACCCAAGCTCGGCACTCTCCCTGTTTGATATTGCGAGTCAGCATCCCGGGTATGCACATGATGAGGCTGTCTTTCAGTACATCCTCCGTCGCCTCTCCACCGACCGAAGATTTGCCCCACACCTTTCTCGGATCACTGAGATGATTCGGGCTCAGAAATGCCGGTGTTCCGAGGATTTAGCGCTTGCTGCTATCAAAGCATACTCCAAAAACTTCATGGTTGATAAAGCGATAGAGGTTTTTCAAAATATGAAGGAGCATTTCGGCTGTCTACCCGGAGTCAGGTCTTACAACAGTATGCTCAATGCATTCGTGCTTTCGAACCAATTGGATAAAGCAACACTGTTTTTCAAACACTTTGAGGCAATGCCCGTTTCTCCCAACACTGAAACTTACAATATCTTAATTACGATTGCGTGTAAAAGGCGGAAACTTCGCCAGGCAAAAGAGCTTCTGAATTTGATGTGGGATAGGAATTTGAACCCTGATGTGTACAGTTATGGAACATTGATCAATGGACTTGCCAAGAATGGCGATCTGAATGAGGCATCTGAAGTGTTTGATGAAATGTTTGACAGAGGAGTGATACCAGATGTGATGTGTTACAATATTTTAATGGATGGGCATTTTAAAAAGAGTGACTCCACAGCTGCTAAGCAGATATGGGACAGGTTAATACATAGTGAGTTAGCTTATCCAAATGCAGTTAGTTATAATGTGATGATCAGCGGCCTATCTAGATGTGGGAAATTCAGCGAGGCATTGGAAATATGGAACCGGATGAAGATAAATGAGGTAAAAATGGATGTCTATACATACAGCTCATTAATTCACGGGTTGTGTGAGTCAGGGGATATCAATGGCGCCGAGAGGCTCTATAAGGAGATGACTGAGAGTGGGGTATTACCAGATGTTGTCATTTATAATGCATTGCTTGATGGGTACTTCAAGTTTAAGAATATTAACTCTTGTTTTGATCTATGGGAGTTAATGGGGAATCAAGATTGTCGAAATGTTTGTAGTTTTAATATATTCATGAGAGGTTTGTTTGAGAAGGGAATGGTGGAAGAAGCCATTTCTGTTTTGGGCCTCTTACATGAGAATGGCTATGCTGCTGACCAAACGACATATGGGATTTTGGTTCACGGGGTTTGCAAAAATTTAAATGTAAGCATGGGTCTAAAGGTGCTAAAGAAAGCAGAGGAGGGTAAAGGAGAGCCAGATTCTTATATTTATTCTTCTATCATTAAAGGGTTGTGCAGTGAAGGAAGATCATGTGAAGCAGCTAACATAATTGATCAGATGGGAAAGAGTGGGCGGAAAGTAAACCCATCTATTTCAAATGCACTACTTAGTGGCTTTATCCAAGGTAATAAGATTGGTGACGCATTGAAGTTTTTTGATGAGCTAGGAAATGGTAACAACTTCTTAATAAATGTAGTAACCTACAACATCCTTGTTGATGGTTTATGCAAAGCTGAAAGATTTGATGAGGCCTATGACACTGTCAAGGATATGCTTCAAAAAGGGTGGAAGCCTGACGTCATCACATATAGCTTATTAATCAACGGTCTATGCAAATCTGGAAAGTTAGACATGGGGATGAACTTGTGGGGTCTTGTTCTGAAAACAGAGGGTATTAAGCCCGATACAACTATGGCTAATATTATGATTCACGGTCTTTGTTCTTGTGGAAAACTTGAACAAGCATTGCATATGTATCTGAAGATGCAACAGTGGGGTTGTGTACCTAATCTAGTCACACTCAACACTCTCATGGAGGGATTTTACAAAGTTAGGGACAGGCGAAATGCCATTGTGATTTGGGCCAGAATTTTCAGAGGCGGGTTTCTGCCCGATATTATTTCTTACAATATTGCTCTTAAAGGGATTTCTTTTTGCAATCGGATATCTGATGCCAGATTGTTCTTGAATGATGCTCTGAGTAGGAAGGTGTGCCCCACTGTGATTACATGGCACATACTTGTCAGAGCTGTCATTTATAATGGAATTCACTGTGATAATGTGGATTTGTCTTCCAGGCCAAGGTAAGTCATCTTCTAAACTTTCATATTTTCTCCTAGACTTCTTGGAAACTGTACCAGGACTTGGGAATTCACCATGAGTAACCATTTGTTTTCACAGTTCATTCTCGGTATGAACATATAGAGTATAGATCTTTGTGAGTTAGGATCTATATAAAGCATCAGTTGTATCAACAGGTTTGGTGGAGGTAATGATGTCACCAAATACGATTACTGATGCGAGAGAGATGTCACATGATGTATTAGCCTCATGTAATGAGTATCTTATTTGGGGTTATGAGTCATGCTATATACATATTTGACATGAAGATTAATCTTCACCCTTTCTCTTCTCTTGCTGTTTGACTTATATCTGATATCATTGTTTGGTATTAGCAGATGATTTGATGTGATAATGTTGATTTATCTACCATGCTCTAAACTTGTTTTCTCTTTTGAGATAAACTACTCGGCTGTTTTTGTAACTTTCATGGCATGTGGTAATTTGAGTTCGTTAGAATGTCACTGTGTAGTCATTCGATAATACAGGTTAAATGTGCATTCTAGTATGTTGTGATAATTGCTCTTTCCTTCATGTCAAGTTACTTGTTATGCAAATGCTGCTCTACATGTATATGCTTTCCACCACAGGCTGTTTTTCTGTACATGCATTTTTTCAAAGTTTACCATTTTCAGTCCACTACTTTTGACATCAAATATCATAATCTTCATTGGGGACAAAGTTTACCATTTTAAACACATAACATGCACATCTGGATTCCCGCCATCAGATATTTACTTTCGTCCAGATTCTCGGCGCTGTTTTCTGCTTCAACGTGTAATATACATTTTCCTTGTGGTAATCAACAGAAAGCATCTGTTGTATTAATGACTTTGATGGCAGCAGTTATGTCATCAAACACAATACCTGATGCCAGAGAGATGTGGCATGATTTATCAGCCTCAAGTAATGAGACACTCTACTTGGAGTTATTACTCATGCTATATTAATTTTTTTAAATCAAGATGGTGGGATTCAAGGACTGTTTTCCTTTCATGAAAGGGGGTAGATATGTGATCTTCACGAGAAGAGAAGTAATTCACAAATAATTGAAATATAGGTAACATGAAATAAATAATATTTTTGTCATCATCTATGCGAACTTATGGAGTTTCCTGGGTGCCTGAGACTACCTGTACTCTCAGGCTTACATAACTATTTATCAAAAGAACAAAAGACAGATTATTCTGCTTTAGAACTGAAGGAGCCATATCCTTTAGCCTTGTGCAGTGGGTTAAGTTGGCTTTGCATCTTCTTGGTCCATCATATCACAGAGCAGATAACATGCTGCAATGCGCATGATCCATTTGTAATAAAAGGCGATACGGCGTGGTGTTCTCCCGCGTTTCTCAAACTAGAGCTGCAAACCCCGTCCGTGTATCTGGACGGGGAATCTCCTTGCTACTTGTTCTTCACTAGGTCGAGGAGAAAATCTGTGAA